TTGGTTGCCCGGACCCCCTCGGGAGCCCACGAGCATGGCTGATATTGTCTCCACAGCAGCGGGATGCACGGGGGTGCAGGGGTGACTCATGGAGGGGGGATGTGATTCACAGCCCTGGCTCCCCGGGCAGGATGCGGCCCCGCGCGCACAGCTCGCCCTGTGCCAGCTCCGGACCGCAGGCATTGTCCTCTGTGGGGTGGAAGCGGATTGCTGCCTGCAGCGGGATGGGATGAGGCTGCTGCTCTTCCCTGAGGTCCCCCAGCACCCTTGGATGCCAGCACAGCTTTCCCAGCCCCTAGGAAAGGTCCCTCCTGCATCCCGGATCTCTCCAAGTGTTCTCGTTGTGCTTGGGCTGTGTCCTCGTTGCTTCTCGCTGCACCAGCGGTGAAAAACGCTGGTACCTTCCTTTGCAGTGTATCCAGGAGAGTAGGTTGCCCATCAAATCTCTGTCAAACCCCTCACATGGGACCAGCTCATCTGGTCTCACCTCAGTGGGGTCGGGTGAGCACCATGAGTGATGCCACATGCCGGGAACAAGCAGCTCATGTGCTGTCGTAGGGCCATCCAGCTGATCCAGGTTGTTCTCCTTCCTGAGGGACACAACCTGAGCCAGTTGTTTCTCTGGTCACTGCCAGGGATGGAGGGAAACCAGGAGCAGCCAGAGCAGGGGAAGGGTTTGCAACTGCACGTTGGGAAGACAGAGAAGAAACAGGCACCACGGTGCTGCCCCAGCCCTGCCAGCATCCACAGCAAGGGAGCCAGGAATGAGGCAGGATGGGCAGAGGCAGCATCTCCTGCCTGGGGGCAGGAGGGGCCGAGCCCTGAGCCAGTTACCCAGCCCTCCCCAAGGTGCCTAAACCTGCACCTTCAGAGCCAGAGCTCCCTCCTCAGCAGAGCCACCGGGCCCTGGGCTCCCAGCCTGATCCTGTGTTTTAAAATACAGGGAATCATCAAAGAAAAAAAAAGCCAGCAGTGAGCCACCCATGGCCACCGCTAGCCCTGCTGCCTGGCACTGCGCCCGCCCGCCTGCCCCACCGTCCCCCCAGTGTCCCCCTGCTGCCTCACTGGCATTGCCCCCAGCTGGGGACACCGGGGAGAAGAGGGACCCGGAGGTGTCCTCAGGTGTCACCAGGATGGCCACAGCGCTGGCCACTGCACCAAGGATGCCGGGCAAGCCGTGGAGGTTGTGGATGCCGCACTGGTCCTGGAGTGTGAGTTTCCTGGCCAGGAACGGGGTAAGGAACCTGAAGCCAAGGACACATGTCACGGCTGAGAGGCTGCCCAGGGCAAGAGCGGCCACTGGTGGCACAGCCATGTCAGCCACCACCCCGATGGCCACCCCGCCAGCCAGGCTGCCGTTCTGCAGGTGGCTGGGGCTGAGTTTGCCATCCCTCTCCAGCAGGCTGGAGGTCACCACGGTGGTCACGGCGCTGGTGCTCATGGCAAGGAAGGTGTTGAGGATGGCACGATGCTGGGCATCTCCTGGTTGGCAGAGGACAGCCACGAAGCTGGGCCAGAAAACCCAGAGGATGAGCGTCCCCACAAGGGACTGGAGGTCAGAGGGGGGTGTTGGGGTTTCCTTGGGGTTCACCGGCTGCCGCGTTGCCCCAAACAGAGCCTTGGACACACCGAGGCCAAAATAGCAGGAGAAGACATGGATCGTCATGGTGCCCCCCACGTCGAGGACACCCAGATGGGTGATGATGATCCACTCACTGGCAAAGTAGACAGGGACTTCGCAGGCAGCCATGACGAGAAGCTGGCAGGGGCTGGTCCTCCCCAGGACAGCTCCCGCTGAGATGAGCACCGTCACAGCAGCAAACTCAGCAGTGAGGAGGTTGTGGAGGTCCAGGTGGACCTGGCCATGGTGGAAGTGATGGAGCAAGCCCTGCAGCACCAGCGCCCATTGCGTGGAGAAGTTGAGCAGGAGGAAGTTGTGGGTGAGGGCACTAAGCCCGTAGCGGGGCAGAAATGCCAGCAGGAGCCCCAGCCCCACCACCAGCATCACCTGGATGTCCTGGAAGAGGGGGAAGATGCCGTAGAGCCGGTTGGCCACCAAGTTGGCCTGTTCTGAGGGCTCATCGTAGGTAACGAAGAAGGTGAAGAAGAGGAGCAGTGCAGCCTGGAAGAGCCCCAGGGAGAGGGGCAGGAGGCAGCGGGGACAGGCAGGGGACAGCGTGGCCATTTCAGGGCAGACAGGAGGGGACAGTGACCGGTGGGAAGGCTGGGTGCAGGGCAGCAGCACCCGCAGGGTGAGCTCCTCTCACTCCTACATGGGGGATTTATGACCACAGTTAATTTTTAAGCAAAGATAAAAGTTTCTGTGCCAGAAGAGATTTTTTCCCCCCCTCCTTTCTTAAACACAATGCCCATAAATTACTCACGAGCTCTTGTTTGACCTCCATAAGAAATAGTTGTGAGAGGGTTTGGGATTTTGAAAGGAATCAAGAAAAACCTGCCATGGGGCAGAGAGGGGAGAAGGACAATCCGTGAGGAGCTGGCCAGGGAGGAGGGTACCACAACATGCACCCCCATTTACCCCAGCCCCATCCTGGACCTCACCAGAGAAGCCCTAGGAATGATCCTGGGAGCTCAGATCCCCTCAGCTCCCAGTCCAGCTTTGCCACATCCCACCTGGGAACGGCTTCAGTTTCTCCACCACCCTGTGCTGCAGGGTGATGCACGTTTCGCTCAGCAACCGTTCAGCTTTTGTGAAACGCCGTGAAGCTCCGAAACTGGGGCCAAAAAGACCATTTTCTCACAGGTTTGCATTGGCTTGAATGGCTGGAAATTCATTAACAATTAGCGCGCGAGAAAAACAAAGCCCAGAGCAGCCAAGCAGCTACCCCGAAGTCTCTGGGTTGCTGCTCAGTGTGACATTTTGCCAGTGAATGTCTGGAAAAAAAAAAAGAAGAAGAAGAAGAAAAAAAAAAAAAAAAAAAAAAAAAAAAAAAAAAAAAAAAAATAAAAAAAAAAAAAAAAAAAAAGAGAAAAAAAATATATGAGAACCACAAGAACAAAAGGCAGAAGGGTTGGTAAATATTTGTTCCAGAGAGAAGATATTTTTGTGCTGTCCCTGATCTCAACACCCCTGCCGCGGGCGCTGGCTCCGCGCCGCTCTTCGTCATTGTTACTGGAGGATGAGGCAGGCGAGGGCGCAAAATGGGAAACAATTGTTGAATAATCTGTGCGAGGCTCCTCTGCCAAACCCTCCCCGGCCGTTTTTCAACCCAAAGATGCTGGAAGTGGGGGGCGAGGTATAGGAGGAGGAGGCGCTTTGATGGCAGCGCCTGTGGGGGTTGAGGAAGGGTTGTGTTGTGGCCAAGCTGTGGCCAAGGGCAGTGGAGGGGTGGTGAGAGCTGTGGGGGTTGGTGGGATGGGTCTTGGGGTTCTTCGTCTGCCCCTAACACGTCTGTGCCACATGGCTGGTGATGCTCTTGGCACCGGATGATCCTACAGGGATCCCTTGCCCAAGAGAATGTTGGGCTGGGGTCCCCGCTGTGCCCTATGGCTTGCTCCGGTGTTCCCAGGGTGGCCAGTGATGGGATGGAATGGGATGGATGGGCAGGATGCTTCTATTGCTGCTGCCTGTTCCTGCAGCAGAGGTACAGCCCAACTCGTTGCCCATGGCTGCTGCCAGCTCCCTCCTCCATCAGGGCAGCAAGGACAGGGGGACACCTCCTCCACCCCTTGCTGGCATAAAAAAAGTAAAAGTGAGAGCCCCTCAAGCCCTCATCCACAACCCTTCACCTTTTTAAGGAGACAGCCTGGCCAGTAAAACCCCTGTGGTTGATGAGGGGTGAGATAGAGCCCCAGGGTGATGCTTGGAATGGGCAGTGCTCCTGAAATGGAGGAGTTGAGGTGCTCTAAAAGAGCTGGGGAAACGTTTTGACCCTGGTCAAATAAGGGAGCCACATGTGAGCAAGGGCAGGGCTCACTCACCCCAGGGTGCTGGGCACCCAGATCCTTGGTGCTGGGCACTGACTCCCCTCCTGCTGCTCTGCAGGCTCAGCCCTCCCCTGCCTGCTAAACTTCTGGGCTTTCTCAAGGTGAGGCTTAACTAAAACACTGAATGAAGAAGCTTTTGAATAAGTTTGTTTGTGGTTTTGGTTTTTTTAAAAAAGCAGACTGCTTTGCAGATTGCAAAGTCACCCCCCGACCTCCTGCAAGGAGAAGGATGCTGGAGGAGATGTGTCCTCCTGGAGCTTCCAGGTCTGCTGGAGAGTACAAGCATCATCTTGGGAAGTCTGGTATGTACAAGACCTCCTGGATCTGCTGTCACCTCTGGCAAGGAATGGAGGCACAGGGTTGTCTGGGGGCTGGGGTGCCCTCAGCAGCCCCACTGCCTGGTGGGTAGATGCCCCATGGGACAGAGGGGGCAGCAGCAGTGCGGGGTCGGGGTCGGGCTGTCTGCCTTTGTGCTGGGCACAGGGGAGCCTTGGGAGCTGACAGCTCCTTATCTCTCAGTGGGCGATAGGGAGTTGCAGGCTCAGCAGGATGTCCTTGAACCCATGCACTTTTTCTACCTGGAAATCTTGCCCTGCCAGCAGTCAGGGATTTGGGATGCTTAGCCAGGCTTCCCAGAGGGGCAGAAGCCAACAGAGGGGCTCCCTCGTGACCTGCAGCCCCTCACATCCCTCCTGCCAGCATCCCTGGGTCGGTTGCATCCAACATGGGCCTGATCTGTTCTGGGGACAAGGACCAACCACTGCCACACTGCTTTGCCAAGCCGTTGGGTACATCCCCTCCCCTTGGGAGCAAGGCCATCTGATTTAGCCTCCTTGCTTCCCAAACCAGAGGAGGTGCAAAGAGCAGCGATGGCCAAACTGTCCCTGCTGCAGCCAGGGGGGATGCCCTGCTGGGGTGCAGATTAAAAAGTAACCTTTATGGCACCCATTAAAGAAGGTTGAAGTTTCAAGAGGTCACTGGGAAGGTAAAAGTCCCTGCCCTGGTCCAGGAGCACCCCAGAGAGTAGCGAATGATTAACCCCCATGGTGCAGGGTGCTCTGATGGGATGCCACCATCTTCTCCAGCAGGATCCAGCACTGGAAGGGAAGGCCCAGTCCCTCCAGTAACATTTTCCAGGCACAGAGTTTTCTTTGGGTACCGAAGGAGCGGGAATGGAGGAAGCATCTGGAGAGGGCTGGGGTGGCAGGGTGGGGACCATTGAAATCCACCCCCCACGTCCCCCTTTCACTGTGTGGGCAGTTGTTTTATGGCAGGAGGGCTGGGGAACCATTTTAGCATGATCCACACTGAGCCTGCTCGAGGAGTTCCCCGCTGAGGGCTGGATACAAAGAAAAGCTGAATTAACCGAGGGTCATATAAGGCAACAGGATCTGACAGATCTGAGCCAATATATGCTGGCAAGAGCCAGTCCATGGCACTGTGAGAAAACACTCCTGCAAATTTAACAAATCCCTATGGTCTAGAAAGTCATGTACAAGAAATTACTAATGAAGGGATCTAGTCATATCTGGATTTCCAGACGTTGGTCATGCTCCCACCATGCTCTGCAGGCCATATAAGTACATGGATCTGAATCCCGGGCGCTGGAGAGCAGGAGGATTGTTCTGATCATCTTGTCTGACCTCCTGCGTCAGCCGAGGCTCCCGGCGAGGAGGGGATGCTCAGCCCAGCCGGGCGGCAGCAGCTGGATCCTGCAGCCGTGCTGGGCTGGGGTTGGTCGGAGGAAGTTTGGGAATGCTGTGGTGGCACGGAGGGTGGCTGGGTGTCCCCACACCTGGCGACGTGCTGGCAGCCAGGGATGGGTGCTGGGGGTGCAGGGCAGGAGGCAGCGGGAGCTCCAGGTTCATCCCCGCGGGGCTGCGGGCGAAGCTCCAGCCGAGGCACCACGGGGTGGGGAGGGACGACCTTGGCATCACTCATCTCCCCACCAGCTGCTCTCCTGAGCCTGAAGCACCCTAAAAATTCCCTTTCCTTAAAGATCCATGCAGCTACACCTGGCTCCTGTTCCAGCCTCCCTGTAGGTCCTACAGAAACGCCCGCCCGGCAGCGACACCACCAGCGTTTTAAACACCCCAGTCCAGCTCAGACCCCAGGATCCCGGGTCCTGGCTGTCAGGGGGTGGGTGAGGGGACAGCCCTCCCCCCCACACACACACACACTCCCTGCTCCAGCCCCTCACAGCTGGGTCCTACCAGGGAGGGGAGGGGGAGACACACAAAGCCCAACAGACGTCACGGAGGCATCACGGGGTCCGGTGGCCTTCTCCATCTTGTTAGCACATTGTGTAACACAACATGTGGAGGCGCTGGGACCGCACACGCATGCGAAAAAAAAAGAAAAAGAAAAAAAAAAAAAAAGGAAGCAATTTAAGCTTTGAATCTTTCTCTTTAAAATGTTCTCATGGCTTCATTAGAATTTGCAGCCACAGAGGCTTTGAAGAGCATGGTATAAGGAGTGAAACATCTGGAAAAATTAGGATTAATGAAAACATAATTCCCAAGACTAAAGGAAAGATTAATCCTGCGTTACCACTTGTGTGTTCCACAGCTTTTCCCCAGCTCGTAACACTGAACTTATTAAATTGCCCTGAGCTGAGTTTTCCTTTTTCTCTCTCCCTCCCCTATTGAGCCCAATGGAAGTGACTGATGCCAAATGTAACGATAACCAACTGTGCTGAGCGGCTCCGCCAGCGCCGCCCGCCCCGCGCCCAGGTGGGCACCCACAGCCCCCCGACCCACCTCGGGGGTCCCGGGGTGGGGGTCCCATAGGGTGGGGGTTCTGGGGTAAGAGCTCTGTGGAGTGTGGGGTCCTCTGGGGGTTATGGGTGCTGTGCCTCCAGGGGGTTGCACCTGCTTCCGTGGGTGCTCTGGGGCAGGATGGGGCCTGATTGGCTCATGGGGTAGGGGGGATGCTGGGGAATTGAAGGATAAATAAGGAATAAACTGCCCAGCTCCGCTTGTAAGTGCTTGGCTGGGGTGAGGGTGAAAAGGCCCGATGTTCTGGCACCTCTGGGTGGCACTTCTGCAACTTGAGGCTTGTTCCTGTGCCGTGCTGAGCCGCGCTGTCCCACGCGGTGTCACGCTGTGCCGTGCCATGTGCTGTGCCCACGCTGCCACCACCCTCCACTCCTGTTTTGTTACCCTGGGGCCAGGCTTAGAGCAGGGCACTGGGACACGCCAGCCCCGTGTCATCAAGGAAGATGCTGTAGGGTGACAG